AGGAAAATGCAGATAGGAGGAAATCACCCAAAAGTGAAGTGAGGCCTGGGATATAGCTGAGTGGTAGAGCATAGGCTTACCACATGCCAGCCCTGGGGTTCAATCCCCAGCACCCCATGCGTGTGAGGGGGCGTGCACACAAGTGCACGCGCACACACACACACACACACACACACACACGCAAAAGCATTGAAATGCAGGAAGAGCTGTATGAGGGGCTGACATTAAAAACAAACCAGAGCTGGAGTAGTATGACAGACAGAACAGGGGAAAAGTGGAAAGCGGAGAAGCTAAGAAAAGGAAAAGCAGTGGGAGAGAAGAGGCTCGAACCCTAGAAATGGGGTAGGAGGTGTTAGGAATATCAAGCACCCAGAACCCCAGCTTTGCCAGGCCGCACACAGAGGAGACTGCCAGGTGAGACCTGGTTACATGGTAGGAGGGGTAGCAAAAGAAGACTGCAAAGGACAGAGCTCTGGAGATTTCCTGGAGAGAGTTAGAGAAATCTGGAAGAGGCAAGGGAGAAAAAGTACAGAGAAGCGGAGACAGCAGTACTCTGGAAGATAAAAGAGACCACGCCAAGAAGGAAAATATGGCGGACGGCACTAGAGTAGAAGCCAAGCTCTGGTAAGCAGAAAGGCACTAGTGACCTTGGAAGGCAGCTTCAGCAACCTGCTGAAGTTCAGGGACAGTTCAGGTCACGCCAAAGGTAAGGTAAGCAGGAGCATGCTTAGAACCAAGTCAGTACAATGCCTTTTCTGGAGCAAGCCAACAATTAAGTCACTGCAGAACAATGGGGCCCCCCAGGGCTCAGCCATGTCACACTGCCCTTTCCATACAGGTGACCCCAGCAAAAGAGGCAGCAGAAATAAGTACCTAAGCAAGTGGACAAATTGGGACAAGTCTACTGTGTCCAACCAGTGACCACGAAAAGAGGAGGACATTTCACCGGTGTGATTCCCTCACTCCTTATTGTATTAGACCTAATGTGCTCCAAGACTGAAAAGGGGGACACAGCCATAGGAGATACTTGGGCCCTGCCTTCAAGAAGCTTCCAGTACGATTAGGCAGATTTTCACTCCATGCGATTATCCCCTAGTCAAAACCTGCATCTGCTGTGCCTGATGAAACAACATTCAGACCTTTACCAAGTTATTTTCCCCACAATGGGTTAATGTAAAGCATAAACTGCATGATAAAGAATGGAGATGAGGATGTAGCTCAGTGACAGAGCACTTGCCTAGCATGCATGAGACCCTTGGTTTGATCACCAGAGTGTATAACAGAGAGAAAGAAGGGGGAGAGAGAGAGAGAGAGAGAGAGAGAGAGAGAGAGAGAGAGAGAGAGAGAGAGAGAGAGAGAGAGAGAGGAGATCCATACAAAAATAGGATAGGGCTGAGCACATCAGATATCATTTCATGGTAGAGAACTTGCCAAGCATGTGCAACACCCTGAGTTCAAGTCCCCACCACTGCCAAAGCAATAATAATAATTAATAATAATAACAATAATATACACTGGAAAATAGACTCCCTGAAGACATATCAGCTCCCAAATATGGACCCAGTTAGCCTCTTATTTTTTTAGTATATGTTTGTGATACATAATGATTACATTTATTGTGAGTAGTTGGTACTAGTACATGACACATCTAAATTTTTTTAGTTGGGCCTGGTGGCTTACACCTGTAATCCCAGTACCGGGGAGGCTGAGACAGGAGGATTGCTGTGAGTTCAAGGCCAACCTGAACTATAGAGTGAGACCTGTCTCAAAAAATAATAAATAAATAAATAAATAAAATTATTTTTACGTCCCCTCCCCCTCCGCCCCTGCAGCTTGCTCCTCCGCTTTCTGTCTCCACGCCCAAACAACTACTTCCGTGGTTCCCTTTCCCAGTGCTGTTCCACTTGACTCACCCTTATTGCACCCGAACCCAGTTCTAAAGTCAAGCTTACCGTCTGACACCTTGCAAATCCTCACCCTCTCCTTGTCTGCGTAGCCTCCTTCCTCATCCCTCCTGTGCAGCTCCTGCACCCTAGCACTAGTCAAGCTCCGTATCGAGCAGTGGTGTGCACATCGCTGGTGTTCAGTATTTACTTGCTGATTGATTGGATGCGTTTTATGTCCCGGTAATCTTTGTGGTCTAATCCTAACTATGGCTATAACATTGCTAATGGTGGTGGCTAAGAGGATGGCTTTTGGTGGCAGGTAGATCTGATTTGGGTTTAATCCAATCTCTGCTAACTGTGTCAGTAAGAGGCTGTGGACAGTTTCCTTGTTCACAAAACGTAAGCCAGGCGAACTGCGGGGTCTAACACAAAATATATGTGAAGCTCTGAGCACGGAGATGCTCTCTTAGTCTCTTAGTCAATTCCCTCTAGTGAGGTAATGTTAAATCTAAAGAAGACCAAATCCAAGATGATACCAATGGTGTCCAACTTTTAGACCCTTAGACTACTTAATAACTCCCAGAAGGGGTCACTCCCCACACACTCTGTATTTAGAGCATAAAATAAAGACCTTCACTTCAAAGACTTCCCCTCCGGGACCCACTCTCTGTTGTATCCTGTTTTAAGTTTAAAAATTATGCAAAACAAAACACTTTCTTGAGTCCTAGCTCCATGCATCACAGTTACTAATCAGCCTGAATACTTTCCCATTTTCCCTCCAGGAAGCTACTTTTTGATCCTTACGGAGGCTCCGCTTTTGCCAAGCCTTCCCCAGCTCCTCACACAAGATGTCCCCCACCCCAGGAAATCAATAGAAACTTGCTGGTGTCTTTGTTCTGCAAGCAGTTTGGTCCCTTTCTCAATCAGTGCTGACTCCCTTCGGCTAAAGACCCAATTCTCATTTCTATAATCTCTGAGTCGAAAGGTTCCTTCTGGTATCAGGTGGTTTTATATGTATTAGTTTTACATATTTCAGGATGTTTCATTTGCAGTGCTGGTTGTGCCCAGGGCCTCATGCATGCTAAGCAAATGCTCTACCACTGAGCCACTTCTCCAGGCCCCATATTATATCTTTAAGAGAATTCTCAAGACATGAGTTACCAGATAAAGGTATAATACTTACAACTTTTGCTGTGTACTGTAGTGTTTCTTCCCAACATAATGCCCACCAAAATGTATACCAATTCACAACTAAATCAACTTGAAACAAAGGTTATTCCTAACTCACTGGCTTCTTAGTTTTTAAAATGAACCTTGTTCTAAATAATGGAATTCATTTTAAATATCTTCACTTAGTACAAAGGTCTTGATCCTTCACTAGAATGATACTGAACCTATGTTGAAATGACAAAGAATTTGGACATGACATCCCAGTCACTCTCAAATATATATGCTGTCTTCTGAATTCTAAATTTCCTAATTGCTCAATATTCCATTTAGAGATTAGTCATGGGGCTTGAGTTGTCTGATGGATTTAGTTATCTTACTGGAATTTATACACAGCCAAATATTTCAAAGTCTGTTGGGGGCTTGTCAAGATGAGTGTGTACTTTGTGAACATTAATGCATGCCTACATAAAAGCAAAGGATAACGAAAGTTGATAAGATAAACAAAGATAAGCAGATTCCTATTTTCTCAGCTACCCTGAGGTTTACCTAAGTTTACCCCTAAGACTGAGTATTCTCATTTATTTGCCATAAAAGTACTATACCCTGATTCCAATTTCCCCAGAAATATTTGGCCCTCCAGAAGATCCTATAAGTGTCAGTAACTTTTCTGCCTTCTTTGAGGCAGCTGGAAAAGTACAAAAAATTACAAAAAATAAGTCTGACTTGAAAAAAATCATTAAGTTCTTGAGTGCTTGCCACTTACTATTCACAGAACAGAGCCATGGTTCTGCTCCTCCCCCAGCCCACTGGCCCTCTCAGAGTCCTGTTGACAAGAGGAAGACCCAGCCAGTCTCTTACATGCAGGACTCCAGGTCTTACCAGACATTCCTGCAGATAAGCATTATGTTGATTGACTAATTGTCTCCTTTGATTTCTTTTTAATTTAAAGAAGCTCACCTTCCACAGCACTTCAGAGCTCTAACAAGCACCAGCTTGCGTTTCCTTTCACGAAATCCTTTTCTTATTGGGTTAAAGTAAAAGGCAAAATAGAAAAAGTCACTTTAGAGTCTGTTTCCCAGGGAGTTGTCAGAACTGCTGCTCTTCCTCCAATACACCCAGCGGCTCAGAGCCTGAGTGATGACCTCCCCGTGATCTACAGCGGATGCTCTTTCCTTATCTTCCAGGATTTCTGGGTTAGGAGAAGTCGGTATAATCCTAATTAAAGCCCTATCTCAGTTCAGACTTCACGACCAAACAAACCAGTTGTACAGCTCAAAGGAATTTAATTTGATCTCACACTTGCAGCGAAATAAAACACAAAAGAAGAAAAAAAAAAAAGGTGGGAGCTCTGCTAATGCGCAGTTAGATTTCTGGACACACTGCCAACCTGATCTAATTAAGAAGAATTAGCAATCAAATGACATACTTGAAGAGGAAAGGTTCAGACAGGACACAAGGTTCTTGACAGCAGCCAGAAAAATGCAATATCTGCGACACAGGTGAGTCCCCAGAGACACAGCAAAGTGCAAGGGAAGCTGGTTTTGCAGGCTTGCTTGCACAGCAAGGGAAGACGACCAGGTCTAGAACCTCACCAAACATTCATCTGAGAACAAAATTCCTTTTATGCCTAAAGAAATCCATGGGACACTCCCAGGTACAACAAAACATGTGAAATAACACCCCCTCACCTAATATTTATTCCTGGAAAACCACCCAAATCATTGCTTAGGTATACCAGACCTTCATCTTCCTTCCCATCTGCTCCTTCGGGGCAACTCCTGAGGACACTGCACCAAAGCAGTACAAAGAAAAATACTTGGATATGCGCTGCCATTTACTCCAAACCAAGTGCTTTGCATTTAAGCCAAATGTGAGCAAGTCTCACTAAAGCAGGGAGAGCTTCAGATCCTATCCTCAGTGACCGTGGTAGAGCCGTCCACTTACCTGTCACCAGGACTGCCTTTTGATCCACAGGTAACAACTCTTGGTCAGCTGAGTACATACACATGAGGAAACACGACAAAGAGAAGAGAACCAAGCTCCAGAAGAAGGACAGGATGAGCAGGTAAGCCCCTCCGCAGAGGCCAGCAAGCCAGAACACTGGGCTCCCCAGCTGCCCTGGGCTCTTGTGTTTGCAGAGAACTATGCTCCCTAGGGCTGCAGTGACAGCCAGGCAGAACCACGCTGCCTCAGAGAAGAACATGCTCATTCTCCACGACTCACTGCACCTTCACGTGCTCAGGGCCAGCAAGTCCAATGGGATAGCTGGAGACAGCCTGGGTTATATGAATGGGGAGGCAAGCAAGGAGGAGGAGAAATCAGCCCCAGCACACTTTGAATAAGCATGGATTAACTATAATCATCCTGCACATATTCCCAGGGATAATTTAAACCCGTATGCACTGTAATATAAATACCAGGGCATTTCCTCTTTGATCGCTCCCTCTCCGCCCCCCCCTGCGCACATAACACACACACTCGCCCACAAATAAGCATGCATGTTTGATTATCTTAATGACTATTCCACCTCTAGAGAGATGACTAATTGGATAATAATTGACAGACTTGGAGCTGGACAGACACGGACAAGCCTTCCAGTTTGCAGGAGCCAAGTCTCTCCTTTGGAATCCTGCAGTGTGTGTCTGTTCAGTTCTTTTTACGCAGAGTGTGTGCTTGTGTGTGTGCTTACGTGTGTGTGTGTGTGTGTGTACGTGTGTGTGAATCCAAGTGACCAGGAGTTTAGAAGGTAGATTCTAGCAGAGGAAAGCATCCCTGATCGGGTCCCTGTCTGTAGGACGCCTGCTTCTGCCAGCTGAGCTCAGGGGGTGAGGGAACATTCGCCAAGAAGAGACTCCTTGGCAAATGAAAAGCACCCTGGTCTTGCCAGAGGAGCGATAAGCCGGGGCAAGATGACAGCAACAACAGTAGAAGTGAGAACAGCCAACCAACATCATCAGCACTTTCTTGTGATGGGATATGACCATTCCTCCTCTCCGATGAAAGACTTTGGTGCCGAGCTCTGTGCTGGGCACTGGGACCCCGAAGTCGACCTGCTCCATCTCTTTGAGTACAATATCCTAACGATGAGGATTCTATTGCTGTGGCAATTGTATAAGACAGGAACCTGGAACACAGAAAGATTATTAAATTTGCCCAAGATCACCCAACAGACTGTCCCAGAGCTTTGCTGTCTTAACCTCTTGACTGCCTGCTCTTGGTAGCAAATAAAAATCAGTACCTTGTAGGCTAGCCCTTCCCTACCTTTGCCTCACTTACACATCATAAAGTCCTTTGAGGTAGATGTTATTATACTCAGTTTACACACAGTAAAGCTCAGACTGGGAGAGGATAAGTCACCCTTATCCTAGAGTGGTAAATGCAAACCCATACTCTGCTTCACCAGCTCAAAGGCCATCCTCAGGGGCAAAGCCAGCTGCCTAAATGAGCTGCCCCTGGGCTCAGAGGGTTTGCGGTACAGGCAGAGAGACAAGAGAAACACTCCCTTTGAGTTCAGATTGCCTATATTTAAAACCAGTGCTTGCCGCACCGCTTACTAACTAGGCAGCCTTGGGTAGATCATTTCACTTCCCTTGACCTCCGGCCCTTTGGCTACCAACCAACAATGCACACTAGCTGGAGCACTAGAAAAAGCCTGGAAATGCTGATGCTTTGTGATTTCTCAGCAGGACAAAAACAAAATGTAAGAGGAGGGAGTGTAGAACAAAGTGTCCGTGGACTATGGACTTGTCACAAAGTTCATGCTGGAATTAGGAGACGCCAAGGGGAAGGGGTGGCAGGGAGAAGACTGGCCCTGAGGCTGCTGTGGGGAAGGCAGCGTGCACATTAGGTAAGATGGTAAGAAGGCAGGTAAGAAGGCAGACAGCGTGCACATTAAGTAAGAAGGCAGACAGAACCTTGTCTCCCAGGTGGGGGAGCCTGGCTTCTGGCTCATATGTGTGAGCCTGGGGAGAGTCACTGCCTTCAGCCAGCTGAGCTGCAAAGGGAAGCAAGGCAGGGGCCCCTCAAGGCAATCTGAGGGCCCAGGGGAGACTGGGTGGAAAATGGGACTTGTGAACTACTTTGAGCTGTGGGGCTGAAGCAGGACAACAGAGCATTTGTGTGGGACCTGCCTGAACCTGGAGGACATCTCAGACAGATAAATGCTGCCAGCCCCACATAAGGAAGCTTGTGCCTGAGGACCTGGAACTCCCTCTGGCTACCCTTGAGCTCTTCCTCTCTCCTGCAGACTCCATTCCTTCCTGGCCTGCACACAGCCATGTGAGGACGGGGCACCCATCACAGACCTTGGCTTTCATCAGCCTGGGAGAGTCTGTTCTTGGCTCCCGTGGATACACGGCTCCCACACGGGGATGCAGGACCAACTAGGCCTCTTTGCTGGGGGCGTCAGCACTGGGGCAGTGGCTCCCACGTCTGGGCCGGGCCGAACATTCCTGTGCGTGTTTCCCAACAGAAGCATGACCACCTGAGACAGGGTTACTCATCTCCTGGAGGCGCCCTCACGGCTTCTCAGCAGGAAGCCTGCTCCCAAAGGCTCAAGCCCGAGGCTCCCAAGCTGTGGGCAGAAACTGCCCTCATACAGTTCAGAAGTCTGGGTGACAGCATTTCCTGTACACTGCCCAACACAAAGAATCCGAGCTTTGAAGTCTTGCAAGCAAAGACAGGACTGAACTATAAGCCTGGCTCCCCCATTTACTAGCTGAGAGGCATTTGGCAAGTTGCCTGCCCTCCCTGAGCCTCAGTTTCCCCCTGTTAAACGGTGGTGGGGACAATTCCTCCTAGAGTTGTTTTGAAAAACGAATGCTGGCAGTTTTGCATCGTGCTTGGCACTGACAGGCATTGCTGCAGGGAAGCTGCTTCTCCTTGCTAGGAGCACTCACCATCTCCACCCTTTCACCCCAGGCGGAGGGGGCATCCTCACCAAGCTCTCTCTCACCCACCTACTTCTCCGTTCAGTTCATCCTCTTGCCATCCTTCAGACGTCTGCCTGAATGTCACCTCCTCCCCACCCGACCTGAGCGTCTGTGTCACCATGCCTTCCCCAGCCCCTTCAGTTCACCTCACAAGTATGGAATGAATTTGTTCATTTTAAGAAAACTGTCTGTCTTTTCTCCTCAGCTGTTGCTATGCTTTATGTCTAGATGTCTCCCCCTAAGCCTCCTGTGCTCGTGGCGGGGCTTTGGGGAGACGACTGGATCACGGGGGCATTATACTCCTCAGTGGAGGAGTCCGCTGCTGAGTTTGTAGCTAAATGTGACGTTGGCAGGAGGTGGGTCACTCCTCCCTTGATCCGTCTGTTTCCCAGCATCATGCCACGAGCTGTTTCTATTCTACCACACCCTCTGCCACGCTTCGTGCCTTGGACCCAGCTGGCTATGGATTGAAACCTCTGCAAACTGAGGCAGGATAAGCATTTCCTCTTTTAATTTGTAGGTGTTGGGTATTGTGTCTCAGTGATGAATAAGTAAAACTTCATGGGGGCAAGAACGTGACCCGTTTGTTGCTATGGATGTTGTTTTGCCTTTACTGTCATCAAATGCCTAGCCTAATGTCTGGTGCATTAGCATACTTAATTCACATTTGTTGAAGGATTTTTTTTTGTGTGTGTGTGTGTGTTTGAGACAGGGTCTCACTATGCGGTTCAGGCTGGCCTTAAGCTCACTTTGTAGCCCAGGCTAGTCTCAAACTCACAATGATCCTCCTGCCTCAGCCTCCTGAGTGCAGGGATTACAGGCGTGCATCATCATGACCAGCTATTAAGTGGATGCAGAAAGGAGCAAATCTACACTGAGTGCTTCCGGGTATCCAGTTCTGCACCAGCCATGGTAGGGCTCAACGGGGAATAATATGGACCCAGCTCCTGACCAGCAGAGCTGATAAACCCAATCTCTCTGGGGGCCACCGTGGAAGCAACAATTGGAGGTAGAAAGAGAGGCTTTTCATCAACTGAGGAACACATGGAATTGCAGAATTTCCAGATTAAAATTACGTCAACCTGTTTGGAACCCTGAATTCCGTTGATTGGGGACCTCAGGGTCCTGATCCATCTGAGAGCTTCTGTAGCTCTAAGGGAGAACTTTCTCTACCTGGGTGGAATCGTCCTGTCTTTGTTCCCATCATTTTGTCCCAGATCTCTCCTCAAGGACATCTTTGCCTAGCTAATGTCCTGATCTAGAAGCTTGCTCTAAATTTTCCAAAGGCAAAGGTATGAAAGGATCAACTCATTCTTGCTATTGATGCCAGTGGGCCCCTGTGCTATGTCCTCCTGCCAGTGGAGGGCTCTCTTTGAAGACACCTTCTGACAACTATCTGACCAAAGGACAGGATTTCCTAGCCTAGGGCGTAAAACAGCTGAGAAAGCTCAAATATAGACTTGATTAGAATAAGTGGCTCTTGAGTTGAAATGAGAAGTTGAAGAAGTAATTCTCCACTTAGAGGGGAATTCTCTCTGTAACATCCCCATCAAGTGGTCATCTTGACTATTGCCACACACCTCTCGATCAGACTGACTTTCTACATCAGGGTGACTTGGAGCATTACAGTTACTTCGCACTGGAGTTGCACAGATATGTGTACTTCTAGTGCTTTCAGATAGTTGAAGGCTGCTATTGTGTCTTATCTTCTCCAGGCTGAAGTCTCCTCATCCTCTCAAATGTGCCTTAGATATAGGAGACTTGATTCAAAAAAAATCGCATTTTAAGAGCTTATTCTTTTCAGTGTTGTGGCAATCACTGAAGAATATTGTACTATAGTTAAGTGTAGCATGATGGTGGCATGTTTCACCAAGCAGAGAATGACCTTGTGTTGATGTCATGATGATTCAAAATTGAAGACATAGGCAGGTTGGTATAGATCATAGCAGATAATCCTAAGGTCTATGAGGTAATACTGCTGCTAACATAGATTCTGCTATGCTTTTTGAGTACTTGAGTGATAACTGATACTTTAGTAACTATGTAAATATTCTACTACTTATTGCCATGTTTCGCACAGTGAGGGGAAAGAAAGAGTAGGAGGGGGGGCTGGGGATTTAGCTTAGTAGCACAGCGCCTGCCTGGCAAGTGCAAGGTCGTGAGTTCAATTCCCAGTACTGGGGGAAAAAAAAAGAGCAGGAGAGAACAACCAGGAATTAGAGCTGGATGAAGTCTTCTTTTCAATCACTGAACTGTTGTATGGTAAAGATGTCAAAACTCCAAGTAGGTCAGATCTCCCTTATTGTGCTACACAATTCAAAGATCCCTAGGATCATGGCCCTTCGGGGAATGGCATCCAGTTACTTTCATCTCCCAGAAAATCTGTGCCAAGAGAGAACAAAATATTTTTAGCACAGTACAAACAGCACAGATTAGAATAAGATTATCACTTCTCCATCCCTGAACCCATATTTTCTTCATCTA